GACTTTTTATACCTGTAGTACTGAACCTGCAATGGAAGCATAATACTGATTGTCTGAGGTGAAGCTGGTACAATTCATATCCTAATTAACTCTTGAGGCAATCAAGAAAGTTGTGTATCTTCTGAAGGTTGTAAAACCTACAGATATATCCATTCTTAGTTGTTTTCCTGGATTAACTTTTTTCTGCCAGTTTATTTGGTATCTATGGAGAAGTTGTCCTTCTGGGGACAGCACAGGAGGCTGGCTATTAATCTGTAAATACCAAACCTTGCACGTTTAGGATTGTATTGTAATGTATGTTTTACATAAGAAACTGGTCTGTCAGGTTTGCTTAGCCAGGCACGGATGTCTAATTCATGGGGAGTCAGCGAGATGGAGCCCTAGGTTGTATTTCCACTTTGACCAGATCCCTAATGGGGCAATCTTGTTTTCAATGGCTCAAGTTGCATTGGTTCCAGGCAGTCTAGAATAAGTTAAACTGGGCAGAGTGAAGAAATGAGGGGAACAAAAGGCAGATTAAGTATCAAAGGTTGGCTTCCAAGACTGTGTTAAATTAGTTTAACAACACAAAATTCTGCAGTTTAGCATCAGCTCCCCGGACTTTGTCGTGGACTGCCCTGCAACAGATGGACTACACAGCACATGAGTACAGTGAGGAGAGGGATCAAAAAGAGGAAAAACAAACAGTGCACTTTTCCTTTTTTTAAATAACTCTTCCCGCACACTTTCCACAGCATCATAGACCTCCCTATTGCTGTTGGGTTTGTGAGGGTGCTGGGTATTTTTAAACAAGAGCTTTTGTCTGCTTTTAGATGAGAAAGCTGACAAATCACTAACCCACGTCTGGGTTACAGAGGACACTGTGCTGTCTCCAAGTCTGAGACTCCTTGCTGCTAGGGTTGGCACTCTCATGGGATGATTCCAAATAAAAAACTGAGCAAGCTGTAAAAACTAAATTTAAGTAATCATCAACCTAGTAAGTAATGAATGCTGAATTAATTGCTTGTTAGATCTGTAGCAGTTAATTAAAATACCAGTGAAAGCTCAGAAAAACTGACAGCTACTCGCTGAAACTGCAAGTGTGCCATGAAATACACAATGTCGTGTATTTTTGTGGAACACACATAGAAAGGAAATGGTTCATATGACTGATTAGCTGGCACAAGTGCTATGCACAAATGTCTCTGCTAATATTATAATCCATGTGAAATAGTGACTAACCTTCTTAAAGAGTATAATAATGGGACTATTCTGAAAAATTTCAGTAGCCTCAAGACCTACACAGATTCACGAGTTGAGAGTGTTGAACAAATAGGTATGAGTCAGCTCTAATTAACATATACCCAAATATGTTGGAATGGATTTGACTGTAACAGTCTTTTGTTGCCTCCTGTATTTGCACACCAGTTTAAGGTCTGCACTCCTGGGTAAGGCCAGTAGCAATTGATCTGCAGTGAAGCGAGCAGTGTACAGTGTGCAGTCCCAAATGGCACACACATGTGCAGAGCACAGGAGGATTATTAATACTATTGAAATACCAATCAAAGTGCTTCAGCAGGCACCAGGCAGCTGCAAAACATTTAGGGACAGCTCAGGAATTCCCATGAGCAGAAGTGAGACAGGAAATAGTGAGAAGTTGAATAAAGTAGCTGAGGAAAATGCCTTTATTCAAAAGAGAGATGAATTCAAAAGAAGTTCAGCATATCCCAGCACAGAAGTCAGAGAAAATAGATTAGGAATAATCTGAAAAGGGGAAGAAATCCTACATACTTTTCAGTAGAATGGAAATTTAATACTTTCTTCAACATCATCTGGAACTTTGTCTTCGAACAGTAACTATCCAGTTGTGATGGTAAATGAGTTCAAAGGTAATCGTTCCTGTCTGCTTATACAGTTATATATGGAGAAATGCCATTTAGCCATAACATTAAACTCAGGGAACTTCACCTTACCAGTCTGTCTATAGTGAAGAGCCAGATTTTGTCTCAGTGTGGCACAGACTTTATTTTCAGAAGAAATTTGGCTATGTTATAACAAACACTAGAGCTGAATGGCTACTTTGATAATCTTGTATTCTGAGGCAGGGTGAGTTTGGGACCAGAAAGCGCTGTAAGGAGTGGTCCTTTAAATGCGTTGGTGGAGCCCCAGGGACGGGAGGTCAGAGTAATAATGCTGGAAGTACTAACAGGAGTCAGTGCTCTGCCTTGGCAGAGCACCGAGGAGCCAAGGCAAAGGCTGTGATTCCCTGGGAGTGCAAGGTGCTGGGGGTCATCCTGAACGAGCATCCAGCAAATGCCCGGAGTATGAGCTCCCGGAGTATGAGCTCCCGGAGTGCTGATCTGGCATCCTCGTGGCAAGTGGGAGGGGGTCCCTTGTCAAGGAACAGCGATGCTTTGGGGATTTCTTAACTTTTACCTAGAGAAACAGGCAGAGTGTGTTGGATGGTGCCTTTTAAACAGGAGGGTTGGAAGCTGAAACCAGAACATTCCGTGGCAACTGGAGAAAGTTCTGAGGAGAGTGCAGTGAGAGCGGCAGGACCCCCCCTCCCCCTGCCTGGAGGAGAGACAAAGAACAGGCGAGGAGGGAACTGAAATAGGAAGCAGGAACCATGTTAGGAGGCTGGGGGCTAAAAGAAAGCAAATTAATAAACCACTGGGGGAAAGGAGCACAACTGTCCAAAGCCACTAGGAAAGATAAGCAAATTCCAGATTCTTTAAGTGCTGCGTGTGTGTGTGCAGCCTGGCTGGTGTGTTAAACAGAATCATCTTCCTCACTGCAGCGAGAACTACTCGTGTGTCTGCACGCAGACGTACAGAATATGAGCACTGTTATCTATTTAATGTGGTGTATTTAAGCTGGGTTTGTCAGCATTGCTACCACTCAGCCCAAAATTTCTAAAAATACACGTTCATATCAGGGTGTGTGCACACACAGTGCAGTAATAAAAAGCTACTGGTGATATTCTGCCTACAGCGGGGACAAACAGCTCCTATCAAAAGCAGGGAAAATCTGGAGCACAGGCTGAGGGCACTGTGTGGCCTTAAGTGCTAATGTAATATTTTGGAAGTTGGAAGCTTGGTGCGCTCATTTGCACATCAGTACCCAGAATGCTTTTTCAGTTCCACCACTATTTAATTCAAGTGCTGGGTTTGAGCTTTTGGAAGACTCGGTAGTTTGTGATGCCCTCACATGTGCCAAGTTCAGTATTTTCCACAGAATAGTTTAAGTGACAATATTAGACTGTGAATAGGTGGTCCAAGGATTCTTAATTAGGCTTGATATTACAAATGCAAAAAAGTGCCCTCGAACACTCCTCCTTTCCCCCCCCTCCCCCCCAGTGTTGTCTTTAACAAAACAAAGAACTCTGTTTTGGGAATGTGTGTGTTTGTTGGGCGGGGGAAGATACTTCTTGAAAACTCGGGGAAAAATTCTTCAATGAGACAGAAAGCAGATTTCAGCTGCAAATGAGTAATGATGATGATGATGTTGGAACAGCAGCTCTTTCATAGAGAGACCTCGAGCCCACAGAGAAGATTCAGCACTAGGACAGTCCAGGCAACCCGGGGCAGTGAATTCGGCGGTGCATTGGGAGTGTTTAACCCGGGCCCGGGGAAGGGTAACTCGCGGGAGCGGGAGCCCCGCCGCGCTGGGGCGTGGGGCGCCGTGGGAACCCCGGGAGCGCGGGGCCGTGCGGGGCAGCGGAGTGTCCCCAACATGGAGGCACTCGGGGCTGCCAAGTGCCCGTGCCTCCCGCAGCCCCCGGCCCGCGGGTACCGTCCCTCCCAACGGCTCCCGAGGGGAGGGCATTTTTGCACTGGAAGAATTCCCGCTGTACCCCTTCCCTCCCCCACAATGCCGGCGCCTCGCTCTTCCAGCGAGGCTGAGAGTTGATCGTGGTACGGGGGGTGGGGGTGAGAAATGCAATGAAAGACCGGGGGGAGGCCGGTCTGCTCTGCAGCCCCTGGCCCCTCTGGGATCGGCTCTCCTCGGGCGAGCCGAGGAGGTGGGGGCCGCTCTGCGCCTCTGCAGCTCCGGGAGGGTTTGCATTGGACGATTCGCGCCTGGGGAGGGGGGGAGGTTGCCTGCAGCCCCCCCCGCCGGCCCCTCCTCCTCTCCCCGGCGGGAGGGGGGCCTGGGGGGCGAGCTGCAGCCCGGATATTTGGGGGAGGGGGCGAGCGCAGCCCCGCCACCCCAGTGTGCCGCGGGCGGGGGCCTCGCTGCCGGCTCGGCATTGGAGGATCGGTGCTGGGGAAGGGGGAGACTGCAGCCCCCAGCCCCCGCAGGGCGGGCAGGGTGGGGGCCGGCCTGCTGGCTCTGGCTGCTCTTGCATTGGCGGATGCGGGGAGGGAGGGGGCAGGAAGCGGGGGGCAGGGGGAGCCCGAGTGGCTGGAGGGGGTCTCTATGAATAGGGTGGGGGTCTTCTCGTCCAAAGAAGAGAGGAAAGTTTGCGGCGCCGGTGGTGAGGGTGCGGCGAAGCGGGCGGGGCCCGGACCGGAGCCGGCGGCGGCGGCGCTCGGTCGGGGAGCAGGAGCCGGGGGGCCCCCGCTGGATTTTTGTAGGGGGGGTGGTATCGCCCCCTCCTTCTCCTCCCCCCAGGGGTGAAAGTGCAAGAGGAAGTGCAGCCGCTGCCATCTTTCCTCCGCTCCAAACACACAGGGACGGACGGAGCCGGCAGCCCGGAGCCGCCGCCGGACCCCCCGTCCCTCCCGGCCGCCGCCGCCGCCGCGCGCGCCCCTTCCCGCGGCGGCCCCGCGGCCGCAGCGCCTCGTGGCGGCCGGGCCCGGGCGGGGCTCGCGCGGCCGCGCGCGCGCCTCGGCCGCCCGAGCCTTTTGTCTCGCCCCCCCCGCGCCGCGCGAGCCCCTCGCGCCGTGCAGGGAGCGCCGCGCGCGCCGCCGGCCCGGGCAGGGGCGGGGAACGAGCAGGAGGAGGCGGCGCGCGCCGCCGCGCGGCCCGAGAGCGCGCGCGCCCCCTGCGGGCGCCGGCGGGGCGGCGCAGCCCCCATGGAGCGGGTGAGCGAGGCCGCCGCCTGCGGCCCCTCGGCGGGCTGCTACACCTACCAGGTGAGCCGGCACAGCGCCGACGTGCTGCACAGCCTCAACCAGCAGCGCAAGAACGGCGGCCGCTTCTGCGACGTGCTCCTGCGCGTGGGCGACGAGAGCTTCCCGGCGCACCGCGCCGTGCTGGCCGCTTGCAGCGAGTACTTCGAGTCGGTGTTCAGCGCCCAGCTGGGCGACGGGGCAGGTGGCGGCGGCGGCGGCGGCTCGGACGGGAGCGCGGCGGAGGCGGCGGCGGCCGGCGGGGCCGCGGCGGCGGCCGGCGGCGCCCCCGGGGGCGGGCGGGAGCTGGAGATGCACACCATCAGCTCCAAGGTGTTCGGAGACATCCTAGACTTCGCCTACACGTCGCGCATCGTGGTGCGGCTGGAGAGCTTCCCGGAGCTCATGACGGCCGCCAAGTTCCTGCTGATGCGCTCGGTGATTGACATCTGCCAGGAGGTCATCAAGCAGTCCAACGTGCAGCTCCTCGTGCCCCCCGCACGCCCTGACATTATGCTGTTCCGTCCGGGGGCTGCGGACCTCGGCTTCCCTCTTGACATGACCAACGGTGCCGCTTTGGCGCCCAATGGCAACGGCATCGCCGGCATGCCCGAAGACGAGGCCACGCGGGCCGCGCTCAGCGCCGCGCAGTCCTCCCTGCCCGTGCTGCAGGGCGTGGACCGCCTGCCCATGGTGGCGGGACCTCTGTCCCCACCGCTGCTGGCCTCGCCCTTCCAGAATGTTGCTGCTAGTGCTCCCACCTTAGGCACCAAGAGGGGCAGAGGGCGTCCCCGCAAAGCCAACCTCTTGGACTCCATGATGTTCGGTACCCCGGGGGGCCTGCGAGAGGCCGGGATCCTGCCTTGTGGCCTCTGTGGGAAAGTGTTTACGGATGCCAATCGTCTTCGGCAGCACGAGGCTCAGCACGGGGTGACGAGCTTACAGCTGGGCTACATAGACATCCCACCCCCCAGACTGGGTGAAAACGGTGTCCCCGGTCAGGATGACCCCGATGCACCCCGGAAAAGAAGCAGGACGAGGAAACAGGTGGCCTGTGAGATCTGTGGCAAGATTTTTCGGGACGTGTACCACCTGAATCGGCACAAGCTGTCGCACTCTGGCGAGAAGCCGTACTCTTGTCCGGTGTGTGGCTTGCGGTTCAAGCGGAAAGACAGGATGTCCTATCACGTTCGATCTCATGATGGCTCTGTGGGAAAGCCCTACATCTGCCAGAGCTGTGGAAAAGGCTTTTCCAGGTAAGGCGGTGCCCGTAAGGACCATAGACACCAATGGAGACCTAGGAGGTTGTCTGTCCTATCCCTTGGGATATGTGCTTAGGATAGTTTGACTGTTCCATTTTAAAATGTGTCAAGAAGTAGGACTGCCATCATTTCCTCTGGGACGTTATTCTGCAGTCTCCTGAAAGGGTTTAAAAGTAATTAAGACATAGAACTGGGAGTCACTTGGCTTCTGGGGAACATGCCCAGCTTTGTCCCAGACTTTGTGTAAGCGTGTCCTTGGGCAAATGAGCCTCTCCCTCAAATGACTCTTCTGTGAAATGGGTATTGAAATAATTACCCGTGTCACAGAAGTGCCTGGAGACCACTGATTTGTAGGTAGTTTGAAGGTGCTGTTGAAGTGCAAAATAAAACATCTCAAGATTATTCTTTTTCTCGTATCCATTTTAAATTTTCTTTTTCTTAACTTCCCTTCATTTCTCTTAGTTCGTAATGTTTTTTATCACCCAAATGTGAAGGAAGAGGTGAGATTTCAAAGGCTGCAGCATCAAGTATCTTTTATTACATGATCTTTGTGTCCTTTGGGTTTACATCCTTCTGAAGGGGATCCTGTTTCTGCCCTGCAACATACGTAAGATCTGTGCATTTAATGTTGCTGATTTTCTGTTGTCGCTGTTTGTGGGAGCTAATTTAATGAGTAGTTTGGTCCACGTAGTTGTGTTAGTGGTATCTTGTAGTCTGAGTTAATGAATTTGAAACTCTTTTGGAAGTTTGCTGCTCGCTTTGAGATTAGAAGTAGTGGGGGGGAGGGGGATGCTTACACTCTGTTACTTCAGTCAGTTTTCTACAGCAGTTGCCTTGCTCTAACAGGAGGGAAGGAGTCAAGATATGAAAACAAATCAAAAGGCCACCAGGCTACATAAATTGTGGAACTGTGCCCCTGCAAATCGTGGAATTCTGCCCCCGCTAGCTCTCTTTTTGATAGAGGGACTTTTTGTTAGAGGGACCTTTTGTTATTGAAAGAAATTATGAAAATGTAGCCCTCCCCCCCCTTTTTTTTTAATCGGCAATAATTAGAGATGCATCTCCATAAGGACTGCAGATTTAGTGATGGAAAGTCACAAAATTTAAATTTCATCCATGGCTAGAAGTGAAAGCATTTTTCTTATTAAAGCGCTACCTGGGATCGTGTACCAATTTTTATTGTTTTTATTGACACTTAAAGATTTCTGCTGTTGCTGTATGAAAGGTTTTTGTCATCGAGGGAGAGATACACGTTGAGCTCTCATTGTTCCCAGCAACTTAACGTGAACAGGCAGGAATGCTGTTACAAAAGTAAACAACAAAAGTGTTTGCCTATCTTTGTAAAATCGCAGCATGAATGAAAACTACAGACTTTGGGTTTCAGTCCTCAGTCGTAGGAGCAGCCACAGGAGGCTGGAAGCGTGATTGTCTAGTTTTAGTCTGCTTTCCTTTATTCAGTAGCGCAGCACGTGGGGTGGCTGGGCTGGGGGTAGGCTGAAGGACCCCAACCAGTCTGTCCGGTTCCACCACTCCAGCCCATCGCTGGAGCATCGGCTTTAGGAGCCTCACTGCAAAGTTCAGCCTATTTTCTGTCTGCAGTGCGTGAATTCCATCCCGAGCCCTCTCATTGGCGCAGCTGCGAAGCTGGGGGAGGAGAGGGTGGGGAACTTGTTTCCAAGCAGTTTTGGCCTCATACAATGAAAAGCTTTCTTCCCACTAGGAGAAACTCCCACCAGGAAAATCTGCAGCTCTTCAGTCCTTTCTTCTTCAAAGTAGGCTTTGCTCGTTGTGAAAAATAGTCTAACTTTTTTCAGTAATAATTTGCTCTTCCATTGCACCTTCTAGCTGGGACCTTCAGAGCACTTGATTTGTATCAATGCAGTCTCCCCACTAAGTTGTGAGTTAGGACAGTATTTTTTCATCTTTCAGGTGGAATGTGTTTACAGCAACAGAGTTTAGGCTCAGTCTTTTTGCACAGAGATGCTTAAAGTTGACTTTTTATATCCTTGTTTGGGACATAAACCAAAAAGGTCTGATTTTCAAATATTCAGCAACTGTAAATCAAAGCGCCCTGATTGTCAAGATCTAAATAGGATTTTGGAAGGGGACATGCAGGCTTGGAAAACTGTAACTTGTATTCCCATTTTCTTTGATCATTCAGTCATAATTTCTTCCTGAGAAAATGCTGCCTTTTTAGCAAGTTGGAGAGGGTACATAACAAGGTAGAATCCCAGTTGTTGGTGATCTGGTTCTTGGAAAGTTAAGTATCGTTATATTTGTAATAGAGCCAGCACTGGGATTTTTTTTGGTTTTTTTTGTTCTTAAAAATTTAAGTTTATTTTTAGTATTTGTTTTAAGTGTGCTTATGTGTATTTTCCTTTAAGGCCAGACCACTTGAATGGACACATCAAACAGGTGCATACCTCAGAGAGACCTCACAAGTGTCAGGTAGGAGCCAGAGGGGTTTAGACTGATGTGTGGGTGATCTTTGGCGTTGGATTTATGTGTGCAGCCAATCTGAAGTACCAGTAAAGGTTCCATGTGTGTGTGAGTGGGGATAAATGTTGGTGAAGAAGAGTGTTCCAGTGACAGCTGCTTTACATCCCTCCCGTCCCCTCCTTTTCTATCCCATCCCAGCCCCTCCTGTCATCTCCAGCTTTGATCCTCCTGCTTCCCTCCCTTCTTCCCTTTCCCTGCTGCTCTGTCCCAGTCTCACCCTGGATCTCTTCCCCAGCCACCTGGGCTTGGAGTCAGTGGCACTGATGATTCCCTCCACCCCCCTCCCCTTTTTTTTAATTGCAGTTGTTGCCATCAGGAGGCTCCAATGCCGACTTCATTTTTTTTTAGAATAACTTCAAATAAAAATAATAAATTATAATTATCATAACTTGTCAAGATACCAATTTTTTTTACCCACATAGCCTTCAGAACATTGCACTGAGCAAAATTGGAAGCTGTTTTTTTATCCCAGGGTGCATATAAACAACGGCATCACAATATCTTTTGTCATACAATGTCATAATGCTGTATATAGCTTTTTGCAGTTAATAAATTATTTGTTAGGGTTTGAAAGATCAAATGAAGGGATATATTTTGTAATTCATTTATGGAGAGATTTAAAAGGTGCAGGGAAGTATCAGTTAAAACCAAAGCTGAGAATCAGCTCCACTATCATACACTGCCTTCACATAGATGTTGGGCTTGGGCTAAGAGTCTCCAGGCTTGGTTTCTGCAGAGAGATTTATTTAATACTTACTTACAGAAGTTGGAGCAAGATTATTCTGTTTTTCTTGGAAGACAAGGATGTTTTTCTCCTAAAATATTCACCCACATTTTATGAACCCAGTCAGTCCTACATGACTGCTGCCTCCCAGTATGCACTTTTGCATGTTTTGGTACATCTCTCCTATGTTTCCTTCAAATTGTGAGAGTTTTGAAACATTTTGCAATTTTAATCATCCAGTGAACAGTTCTCCAAATAGCTGGAGCCATCTGAAGGTTTCTGTTGATCTGTGGAAGCCCAGCACCTCTGAAAGTCAGGCCACAGAGCCATCACATTGATTTAACTGTATGGCCTATATAAAGCTTTAGATTGGTTTAAGCTTCTTAAGATGATTTAGGGTTTATAGATTTATACAAATGGGAAAATTCCACTCATAAAAAGACTTCCCAATTTGGGGACAGCAAGGGGTCTGGGTGGATGAAGACAACCACAAATTTTTTCCATAACCATGTATTTGTCCACAAGGACAAAAATGAATGTTTAGTCCCAACATGAACAGAAACTCATCAGTCTTTTACCAGTTGATACCAAGGTGACACAGTTTATGAATAACACTGATGGATGTGAGTTATCCTTTGCCAGCTGATGCCTGATAATTTTTTTATAGTTCCTGATTGATTTAAACATATTAAATATAAACTCTGTGTGAATCAGAGTAGACACTGAGAGCTAGAGAGTAAAGAAATGTGGAAGCTAAGATTGTCCAGCCAAGCTGAACCCCATCTCCTTGCACTCATGTATTTTGTGACAGCAGTTTCTAAGAACAGTCTCTCTCATCCCGTGCTGTCTGAAGTGCCATAACACTGCATGCAATGTTCACCTCAGTTACAAGGCATAGGCTACAGGTTCTGACCATCAGGACAGAGTTGAGGTTGTCCTTCAGGCTTGCTCTTGATTTTTGACTGCTTAACCCTGCAAAGTTAATTTTTTATGAATTTTAAGGTGTAGAAAATTTGTTAACAACCTGTTGTGTGTCTTTACAAAAACTACTTGGTAATATGCTGTCAGATTTAGAAAGTCTTCTTAAACACGCACAGATCTGCTGTACATGGTACAGACAAAGAGGGAGTGCTGTCACACTGAACATTTGTTTGGAATATGAAAGCTGAGGTATAAATTGATAAAGTTCTTGTGATTATCTCATAGGCAGTCACACTTCTGTTCTGGGATGTGTATCCAAACACAGGATCTGGCCACAGAGAGGGAAAATAGCTTAATATTGGCATGTTTTTTGCCCATTTCCCATTCCTTCTTTTTCCATGGATTTTGTTTGTCCAATTAGCTCCCCATGAGAGCAGCCTGAGCAGCACTGAGCATCCTTTTTGAACCTGTTGAGCTCCCGCTGAACGTTCCTGTTATTGTCATGCTTTGTTTATGTTTACTGAAGAAGAGAATTACTCTGTCAGTAAACACAAGAGCATTCCAGAATCCTCTATTGCAATGGCATTTTTGGAATTTGTGCTCTGTTATGATTTAAACAAAATCCACTGGCCTTTTACCTGAGCCCTCCTGTACCTTTGAAAGCAGTAGATATCTGTGTTTTGTTGATGTGGCATCATGGTACCCTTGGAGTACCAAAACAGAAGCAAGAAGGTATCAACTCAACTTCAGAATAAATAAAATGGCAGTGTGAGGAGCAGGACAGTTCTACGTTGGGCATCACTGCAGCAGCTGTACTTTTCAGTGCTCAGTTTGCAGTCCTGCACTCAGCCCCCTAAAATCTGTGCTTCACAGATCTTTCACAAGCATCCCAGGTTCCAGCACCTGATGCCAAAGCCACCACTCTCCAGCTTTTGCATTACAGTTAAAATAGACTCAGATTAGGGGAGATCTCCCCAGAGCCAAGGCAGCTGAGAAATCAGCCCTGAGGAGTGGCTTTGGTGTCCAGGCAAACGGTGCTCTGGATCTTCTCCCCTGGATTGTTGCACTGGTGATTTTTTTTTCCTTCCCCATTTTTTATTCATTTTCCCAGTGTGACAGTCTGAGTTCTGGCTGTAGGAGAAGGGGTAAGTCAGTTTTGTGCCACAGTGGGATGGCTCCGAGTGCTGACTCCATGGGAAGGGTGAAGCTGTCGGCTTTGGCGTGTGAATGGGTGAACGTCAGGCTGCAGTCTGGGAGGAAATGGTGATCTGAAAATCTGTGGATGTGAAAGAACAAGGGGACAAAGCAGAAGTTTGCTCCTTCTCAGAGACAAGAGACAGGTTGTTCTTCTGGCACATTAAATAAAAAAGAAAAATGCAGGTTAAATTAAAGCACAGCTTAATTGGCATCCCAAGTCCAGTGCTTTTCCCATTGATTTCAATGCAGAATGAGTTTCTTCCTGTCCTAATTTCTCTTACTTCCTGCCTATTAGCAGGAAAATGGCAGCCACCATGGAATAAGCTCAGAGACATCCACATCCATAGAAAAGTTGAAACTTCAAGAGGTATTTCTTAAACAATGTTTTTTAAACTTTATATATTCTTTTTTGGTCTATTTATATACCTGTGCAATGTTTGATAGGAAAGCACTGGAGAGTTTTCTTCTATGATTAACAATTAATGATAAATATTTAGCACTCATTTAGCACTTCGCATCTTTTGTAAAATAAGACTTTTTTTTTTCTCTATACCTTTTATAAATATTAACTATTTGAATATTAACTTTGGGGTTTTCCTTAAACCTAGTCCTGTTTCCCATTGTTATGATTCAGCTAAACTGGTTCTTGCTTTCTCCACTGGGCTTAATTATTTTTTTAAGCTTCTTCACAGATATATTTTCCCTGTAGCTTATCCAAAGGTGAGCTTTGCACAACTCAGCAGCAAGAGTGAGAAACCGAACACAGAAATGATTATGTTGCCTTTCCCTAAGCTTTCAGCTCGCTAAGTTCACTCTGAGTCAGACGTGGTTTCGCCTCTGGCATCCCTGTATTTGTGTGATTTGTCTCTGATCTGTGTATGAGCTGGTGCCTCCCCAGTGCTCGGGAGGGGACGTTACTGCGGCTCAGTAGCTTTAGATTTACTGATGATGGATCTCTTGGCTGTCATTGATTATCTAGTTATCTACCTTTAGCTGATATCCAACACACTGATTGCTATCAGTGCTGCAGTGCTGCCCTCAGAGAGTGTTAACCTCTAAGAACATTTCAGTAAGTGAAAGCTGCACCTGTTTTGCTCAGCGCTGTGTCCTGGGATTGCAAAGGAGGAGAAACCTTTCACGTTCAAGACTTTGCCTCTTAATCCTACACTACTTGTAATTTATGGATCTTTGTACCACAGAAATCCAGATAATTTTACTGTTGCCTTTTTAATTTCATTAAGTCCTGATCCTCTGAGGTGTTAAGTCTTGTGCTTGCTACGGAGCAGCCTCAGCTCTTGGGAGTTTGCCACACTGAAGCATCTCACAGGATCGAATGAGTGTAAAGCCTGTTGAAATTGATAGGTACTTTTCAGCTGCCTTCAGTGTTTTTTGGATTAAGCTCTTGATTAACTGAATTCTATATAATTATATGTGTTACCCTCTTCTGTATTATCAATTTCACTTATGTGACATTACAATTTTGGAATTTTACTAGGATTGTTACTTTAACAAGTTTATTGAAACAGTGATTTAATTACATATTGATACTTGAAAACATAGACCATATCCAGTTCCCAAGTCACTTAACAGCCTCATATTATTTTTAGGGGGTTCTGGTTATACATCTTAAAACTGTGTTATTTTATATAAAGGTGGTGCAAACAAAACACTGTCCACTCTTGACTGTCACTGCTGCCCCTTGCTCTGGTCACTGTGATGTGTGTTTGCTTTGGTTTCTGCTCTCACACTTGTGAAGTGGATCAGACTGTGTCTCCAACACCCTGTACAGTCCAGGGCTGGGGGTTTATTTCCCTTCAGACCTTAGAGACAGAACAAGCCCCTGAGAACCAGCAGGCAGCTGGAACAGGCTGTGGGCAGAGCCTGCCCATCCTGGCATTATAAAAATGGGAGGGAGCCTTCACTCACCACATGGATTTCATCTGGGAAGTGGGCGAGTAGAATGGATATTATGCCAAATCAAGCTTGTTTCATGATAGTAAGTGGAATATGATACCTTGATCAGGGGTAAGTTATAAACAGATTACAATGTCCTGCAGTTATTTTGATACCTGCTCAGTTCTGAGGCTTCACTTCTACAGTTTGTCTGCACTGCTGCTGTGGATACCAGGATGACTCTTCTACTGTCTCTTGTCATGTTCTCATCCCAGATAATTCTCCAATGCTTTGTTTGTATGTCTTCATACTCCAAAAGATTCTGGGGACTGAAGTCAGATTGATCACACCAAAGAGTAGAATGTAGGAAGGTGACAGAGAGGACATTTTGAGTGGTCCAAAGTGGTTGTAATGGCTCAGTGAAATGGCAGAAATTACTGTAAATGGAATGAAGTGGTTTGTGCTATTTCCGTTGTTAAATATAATTTAAAATGTTAGTATCTTTATCCTCAGAGAGGAGCTAAAGCCTTACACTCTATCTTGATTTAAGTTTTACTGTCTGTAGTACATCAGAGCTGTTTCCTTAATTCTTTCACATCTTGTGCAATGTGTTGGTGATCCGAATTTTTTTATTTGTGGGGGAAAATGGCTTGTGCATCATGTCATTTGTGTCTTTGCTCAGGATCTAAGGTATTTTCTCTAAAGAATACTAAGTATATTGGACAATATCCGTGCTTTTGGCAGAGCTGATGAGTCACACGGTTCTCGTTGTACCTGCAGACTTGTAACGCTTCCTTTGCCACTCGTGACCGGCTGCGCTCACACCTGGCCTGTCATGAAGACAAAGTCCCGTGCCAGGTGTGTGGCAAGTACTTGAGAGCAGCATATATGGCAGACCACTTGAAGAAACACAGTGAAGGACCAAGCAATTTCTGCACTATCTGTAACCGAGGTAATGAAGGAACTGTGCTTTTCTTTCCGTGGGCTGGGACAGCGCTGGAAGGGAGCTTGGGGCTCAGTGACTCTGCCTGCAACAGGAGGAGGTTGTACCATGCTGTGTGACCATCCCCTGAAGCTGCTGCAGCTGCAGGGCTGGCCTTGTCACCTGGCTGGCAGTTCCTAAAGAAACTCAGTTCAAATCTGAAGCAAATTGTTTCTAGACGGTTTTAATAATTTTGATTATTAAATAGCCCGATCCCTATACAATAACCCCCATAAGCTGCCTTGCTGCTGTTCACCATACATCTTCTTTTTCTATAGCTGGTTAGACTTGAGTCCTTGCAATCAGTTTGGAAGAAGAATCTCTGAAATAACACCAAGTTGAAAATCCTACACTGAGCATAAACAGATTTGCATCATGTTATCCAATCTTGCTCAGCCTCCTGGTGCAGCAGAGTCAAGTGGCTTCTCCCTCTTAACCCAAGAAAATGCTTTGTATTAATGGACATTTCTAAAATAGATTTTGTAAAGAGCACTAGAAATGTGTTTTACCTTTGTTTGTACAAATACAGCTTTTCATAGTATCACAGAATATCTGGAGTTGGAAGGGACCCATAAAGATCATGGAATCCAACTCCCTGCACCTTGGGAGACTATCTAGAACTAAACCATATGACTAAGAGCTTTTGAAGCTTTTCCATCTGTTTGTGGTATTCTTAAGTTGAAGAGAGTTGGAAATTTAGGTTTTGTGGGACGTAAGGCAAGCTGGAAAAATGATTTTGACTTATTGGTGTCTTTTTTTTTTAAATTATTAATACACAACTTCAAAATGCACTGTTGGCTCACACAGCTAGTAAGGGTTGGAAGAGGTTGCTACTGTATTTCGGAATCCTGTTTTTTCTGATGAGTGTTTTTTTTTCTGATGTATGTTCCCTTTTCTAATTTAAGAGATGTGAAATCTTTTGAGAGAGAGAATAAAGCTGTTCTGTGTTTGATGTGAGGACTGTACAGGGAGCTTTTGGAGTTGATGAGTAATGAGAGACATTAAATTGAAAGGGAAGTATTTCCACTTGTTGAGCAGTGTGTTAGGTCCTGAAAGTGATATTAACAGTGCGAGTGGAAAAGGCATCTGGGTTGAAGATTTTGAGTTTCTGAAGCTCCAGTAGATGGTGTGAAATGAAGTTTGCTCTCCTTTTCAGCTTCTGAAAAACTGCTTAAGCTTATCCTGATTCTTTCTGTGGTAACAATGGAAGATCCTATCCCAGATCCAGGTGCTGTCCTGCTCTCCTTCAGCTGAGCGTGGTGCCAAACAGAAACTCCCCTGAACCGGGAGGAATTGTCTCGTTTCTGAGATTGGCAAGCTTGAGTTTCAGTGGAACTGCCACTGGATGTCACTGCAGCTCTTCGGAAATGGAGCCAGGGTGACAAAAACAGACCCGGCATTCAAACAATGAAATGACCAAGGGTTTTATTCACATTTTACAAGTCGAAATGTACAGTGGAAATTTAAAAGTACTTTTGTCTGCAGAAGGACAGGGGGCCTGTTGTACAGTCAACTTTAGGCAACTCCTTTCTTAGAGTTTGTGTGTTTCACAGGAGTTGTCAGAATTGTGTACTGTGAACTTCAGTGTACAGCAGGACTTAGAAAATTTAATTAATCTGGTGAATTACTGTTAAATATCTACCCAGTGTTAGAATTCATAGGAAGGGGGAGTCACAGCCTGGATTTGTCAGATGGCTGTGTTGTGAACTCACTGCTTTATGCTGTAAATGTTGGTTACAGATTTATGAGCAGTGACAGCAGAAGTTTTCATCCCAAGCGTTCTAGAATCAAATCATGATGTTCATAGTTTTAAAGAGATATCTTTTAAAACTGTAGAGCCTGGCAATTCTAGTGGCAGGTTTCTGGATCAGGAACACCACTTTGGGAGGCACTGGGACAGTCAGGAGCTGCACTAACCCCACTGTTGTGCCGTGGCTGCGCTGCTTGTGCAGTGGGCTTTGCTTTATCCTCCCCCTGTCTAATGTACTGGGGTATCTTTTAATTGAATTTAGTAACTGTCAACCTCTGGATATAATAATTGTCAAGCAAGAAAGCTCTCCAAGCTCAAGCTACTTGTAGAGAGAATTTTGGATGTTGGCCCACAAAAAAAAAAAGGGCAAAAAGTGGATGAAAAGGTGACTCTTACCCAGCTGAACATTCCCAGTGTTAATGACAGAGCTTAGAATCCCTCAGTTGCACTGAAAGCTTTTCTGGGGAACTTAATTAAGCATCTCATGTTCTTGTAAAGGTTTAATGGATTTAGGAGATGGGGCTGGAACTCAGTTCCTGACAGAAAGGAGCAGCCAGTGGTTTGCCATGTCATGTGTGTGCCCATTTGTTGATCGTATTTATTTCTTTTACAACATGGCAGTTCAATATCCAGAAATTACCAGCTGTGATTTGGTGGGTTTTCCAGGTTATTTTCTTAATAATCATGGAAGCATTTAAATCTTTTAAATCAGGGAAACAGTGCAATGGTTTTGAGGGGGGAGGTTTTGGTTGGTTTTTTTCCCCCCTGGGATTTTGGTTGTTTTGTTTGGTTTTGGGGTTCTTTTTGTTTTGTTCTGGTTTTTCTTTTAAGAATTTGTCCAAAATATAAGAACCTAATCCTCAAGCCTCACTTTTTAAGACAAATTCTCTTTAATCAGGTTAAATAAAAAAGACCTGCTCCTGTTGTGTTACTGCATAAACTTCTATTACCATCCTTAGGAACTTTATTTGATTGTGTGGACAAATTCAAGAGATTGATGACTTTGGCAGGTCTAGAGCTGGTACTTTATAATAACAGGTGAACTCAGAAGTTTGGGGTTCCGTTTCAGACACAGACACACTGTTTGTTCCCAGAAATCAAATGAGTGAGCAGAAGGGTAAATATTCCAATCCCAAGTGGGATGGAATTTATTTTTACAATAAGATGAATTCTTGCACTTTTCCTGGGGGACACAAAGTCCATTAAATCAAGACATTCTCTGCATGTTCCAGCTAAATCCAAATTAGAATTTTTGAACAAGGAGCATCCTGCGATTATTTCTCTCATTTATCTCCACATAGATTTGTGTGGGAGATCAAGGGACAGGTCCCATTTATATAAAGCAGATCATTTCCTCTCTGTGCATGTTTCTCTTCTGGTATGAAGAAATAATCTGCTTTTCAAAGCAGAGAGATGTGTAGGGTAAAACAAGAATTACATTCCTTCTCAGAAAAATGCTGCCACTTTATCCCCTGCACTAGTCTGACTTTGTTCTGAAAGAGACTTTTAAAAGTAAGGGATTTTTGTCCATGAAACCCCATCTTTCTAGGACAGGCATTCATAACTACTCTGGTGGAGGAAAAAAAGGCCAGTGCTAAGTGCTTCAGGAAAAAATTAGGATGAAAACAAACTCCCCCAAATCTCCCTTTAAACAGTTTCCCATGAAGCAGTTGGCATTCTTATGGCTTTGATGGAAGTTGATGACTCACACATTCATCTGCCAAGTGCATAAAAGGGAGCTAACACACTTTGCAGCAGTTTCCATTATATAAAACAATGTACTCTACAAATAGAATTGCAGAGTTCAGAAATAATATTGTGTAGCTGAGATTACAGCTTCAGATTCTCCTGTGTCAGTCCCAGTACAGAGAGCCACTGAATACCTGTATGTAGCCCTTTTTTGATGGTTGGCAGGGAGATTTTAGTGCACTGCTACATAAAAGAGGTTGAGCTCAGCATGCCTGTGGTTGTTGGACACGTAGGAAATGAGGGAAGCACCTCGTGGGTGGAAGTGTCACTGTTATGTCTGTTCATTGTGCCCTTTTCTCTGCCAGTCAAACACCGATTCTTTCCACACTTACAGAGAATTTTTGGTATTTATAAAAAATACATTCTATTGTTGCCCAGTGAGGTTGTCAGTGCAGTGTTTGGTGTGTGAGGGCAGGTCTAGCATTATCCCTTACACGGATTCCCTGGATGCCTCGGCCTGGCTCATTCTGCTGCCTTGTGTTTCCAGGGTCGTATGTTCTTGGTGTCTTGAATTGTGATGTGTCTGCTGTTCTGGGCTTTTATCTTCAGCTCAGGGGTCCGCAGGAACTGCCTCTTGGTCACTGCCAGCAGCCTGCCCTTCTCCCCTTCAGCAGCTTGCTGGGGAGTTCTGCCTCGCTTTGCAGGTCCTGGATACTCTTTGATCCCGGCTTGTAAGGAAGAGTCTGGGTAGAGGGATGTTGTGTTGGCCAGACATGGGGGAAATCTACTGTAAAGCCACATTCAGGATGAAATTCAGCATCTCAAATGAACAGCTGCTGTCAGAAAATCCACCCTAGAGACGTGTGCAGGATGGGGTTCCCATCCTTCCTTAGATATTATTAGATATCATCAAATGTAAATACAGTTACATCACTATAAAATGGCTTTACAGTAGAATAACTATTCGTATTTGAAGTGATTGGGATGAAAGTTCTCTTGCTGTAAATGCTGCATTGGTTTAAAAAAATCTAGGACTTGGGTTTTCCCTCTCCAGAAAGGGAACCTGGAACTTTGGGTCTGGGACAGTGAACCTTGTCTTGTGTTCAGTTGTTAAAGGAAAATGTTTCTAACATGAAAGTGCCGTAATATTCTGTTCAAAATCTAACAGAAAATTAAGCTTCTTGTTGGGAGGTTTGCCTGTGTAGGAAATCTTTAAAATTCTGTCCTCCTTGTGCCTCATGTATAGTCCAAATGTACTAGTAATAATTGCAAATCTTATAGAGATTGAATTTAAAAACATTCCAAAGTATATGTGAGGTAATTTATTGCATTAAAGGAAAAGGACATATTTGTGAGACTTCAAAAAACATTTTAAAAAGCACATGCACAGCTGTAAAAAACCTGTTTTGTTCAGAAATCAATTGTTTGAAATACATGTTTTCCATTTCAGTGGTTTGGGCTTACAGATCAGAGCTGATAGAAATAGTGAAATTTATTTTTAATATTTTTTGTTTACTGTAGAGAAAATACTCAGGATGAGCTGAATGCAGGAAATGTGTTCCAAAAAGTACTATACAACAAAACTGTATCCCTTTAAAAACTCAGCAGTTTGAGCTTTTTGCCTTCTAGAAGTCCCTAAAAATGCCAGAAACCTGAGGGGAAAGCACACCAAATACCAACGAGGGGTGTTGCTAAATGGCATTCCTTTGAATCTTAACAGCATAAAATCAACTAATTGGAACTACCTTCCAAAGTATTATCAGATGATAAAGGCATTTTTAATGAAAATAAACAAAACAGCACAAAAATGGTGAAGAGGCATGGGTGCCTTTTTTTGTGATGTCTCTTCTGCCTTTTGTCCAGAAAGTTCCATGTCATCTGCTCAGTTTGGTTCCACAGACTTTGTTTTGAAGGAGGCTGTGCTTTCATCATGACTAACAAAAAGCAAACACAGCCTGATGAAAAGCGTGCAGTTCCTGACTGCCTGATGACAGGAACCTACCTGAGCATGTGCCAGGGAATTAGCTGGTGTAAGGGCAGCTTTGCAACGGGGAGCAGGAGTAAAAGATGAAAGAGCAGGGAAGGCAGATGTGTGTCTTTGCTGGTGGCAGGATCTCATCTCCTTTTATCTTGTTTAGGTTTCTCCTCTGCCTCCTACTTAAAGGTCCATGTTAAAACCCACCACGGTGTTCCCCTTCCCCAGGTCTCCAGGCACCAGGAGTCCATCCCGAATGGGGGAGCAGCGTTCCACTGCGGCAGGACCTATGGCATCAAAGGCAAGAGACTCGCTGCTCTGCACCTGCTGCTCTGGGCAGAGCTGTGTGTGCTGGGCTTGGGGCTGGGAGGGAGGAAGCACAGGGAAGGACTGCAGACCAGCTTAGGGAGATGCAGAGGAATTCCATAGTATCATGCAGGATGTGATATCTGCCTTGGATAGGTGATGTGACAGGGCTGGGGGAAGGACATGGACACGGAAGAGCATAGGAATTTTTGGCGGCTTCTTTGATTTTGGAAATTGAAAAAGCCACGTTGGTTCATCTTGAGCCTCTCCCATGGAGGAGCAGTGTCTGAATTTTGCCTGAGGGTGCAGATCATGGGCCAGTTCCTTAGTCCCATTCCACAGGAATCTCGTGTCAGTCAAACCAGGTCTCTGGTTTCTGGTGAAGGAAGGGGCAACTGCAGAATGCAGTTCACAAAGACTCATCCTGAAGATGATGAAGGGCCATGCAACTACCTGTAGCTAAACTTACACTTCTAAAAGCTGTTATTGGAGAGGAGAGGCAGAGGGTGGTAATAGCACTGGTACTTGTTTGTTTGTTTTTAATCTGCATTTAACTTCTGGAAAAAAAAAAAAAGGAAAAAATATTATTGTAAGCCTAGCTAAAGAGTACTTAACTTCTGAACAAGCAAAGCAGTGTTTGTCTGTGTAGAATAGCTTTTTGCCTTTTTGGTTTGAGCTGTCCGTGTTTCTGGTGAAGCTGAAACATCAGAAGATGTTTTGCTTTAAACCCATGGTCGTTACCTTTTTTCCTTGCCCAGGAGATCACAACAGGCTGGGTCAAACAAAGTCTGTGCCATCAGAAAGCTACACATGTGCAATTTTTCCTGTTCAAGCATTACAGAGTTACTGCAGTAGCCCTTTGGGTTTGGGTGGTGTGCTGACTTAACAAGAGATTTACTCCAGCTCAGTGGTGTACTGATTTCATGCATATCCTGTTTGGTTTGTAATGCTGAGTCCAGAGCAAATCTGCCTTTTGGGTTGTGCCAAGTGGTTCTTTGGTCTCTTAGAGTTAATAGTAGGTACAGCTTATTTGTATTCAGGGACTGGTTCAGTGAGTATGTCTGGGTTTCTCACGCTCATTCACATGCACTGAGCAAGAAGTGTGGACAAACTTCCCTGGCATAGTGCCAGAGGAGAATGGGGAACACTCCAAACATCCCAATGGCTTTGCTAGGATATGTGTCCAAACAACTTTCAAACAGTGTCCCTAACATCTCTCCTGTTTCACACTCCAGCATTTAAAGATGGAGCAATTTCAGATTGTGAAGTTCACTTTTAACAGTGTTGTACTTGTGAAAACGAGTTCCTTGAGACTAAGTGTAATTGCACTCAAATTGCAGGAGCTCACTGCTGTTACTGAGTATTTCCAGGTTTCTTCCCATCTTGCTGCAGCCTTGTGAAGTTTCTCAAGGCTCTCCCCCAAAGTATCAACAGTATTTCAGAAGTGTGTGTGTGAACTGCACAGTTAAAAACTCATCATTAGGCCCATCCTTTTGTAGTGTCAGAGGTGTAAACATTGTGAGACATCTCTGAGATTCAAGAAGTGTTGTATAAACCAGAGACCCATTATGGTTACATCCAGTATCGTGACAAAGCCCTAATGAAACCCCAGCTGTTGCTCTGGGAGCAGCCTGGTGGTCTGGAAAGAGGGCCTGTGCTCAGGGGCTGGAGAACGTGAGGGATTGGATTTTCAGTGTGTAACTCTGTCATGACAGGCGTGAATGTGATCAGGTGGTAACCACAACAAGCCGTGTCAATGCTCAGTAGCTCTGTTTGGGGCACGAGGTTCTGACAACTTCTCTCTTTTCTTTTTGCCGTAGAAGGCCAGAAATGTTCCCATTCGGACCCGATTGAGAGTTCTGATTCATACGGAGACCTCTCTGACACCAGTGACCTCAAGACTCCCGAGAAACAGAGCACCAACGGGTCCTTCTCGTGTGAGCTGGCAGTGAGCAAAAACAAAATGGAGACGGAAGGGGAGAAGAAATACCCGTGCCCTGAGTGCGGCAGCTTTTTCAGATCCAAGTCTTACCTGAACAAACACATACAGAAAGTTCACGTCAGGGCCCTGGGTGGCCCCCTGGGGGACCTGGGTCCTGCTCTGGGATCCCCCTTCTCACCCCAACAGAACATGTCTCTCCTGGAGTCCTTTGGGTTTCAGATCGTCCAGTCAGCATTTGCATCATCCCTGGTGGATCCAGAGGTCGACCAGCAACCGATGGGGCCAGAGGGGAAATGAGATCGGTGTGATCTTAGCAAAGCAAAGCAGCAGTCTGGCTATAGTGATAAGATGCTGTGAATGAAAGAGGAAATAATGAAATTGGGTTCTATAGCTGAGAATTTTTTATTCGTTTTAGCTTCCCTCTTTGTCTCATGCCCTACCCCCACCTTTAAACTTCCACTGGGGAGAGGGAGAAAATGCTTCTTAGCTGATAAATTACAGAAGATGGTGGCCTTGAATAGGAGACGTGACCCAAAACACTAAATGGAGCTTTAGAGGCGGCTGCTGGTGTTTCTCCGTGTTCTTCTGGAATAATGGAAAGTTGCCAGCACTGGTGTGAGAACGAGACAGTCCTAGTGGCCGAGGCACCTGGGGAGCTACAGCTACAGGGAGCTATGGTTTTGTTCTCTCTCTATTCCCCACCCTCCCTAAACTATCCCAGAAAAACAGTAAGTTTTAAAAACAGACCCACTATTGAATAACATTTAAGTAAAATGCCCCGTGGTTCCTAGCAGGTTACAATGCAGTTGTCCTTTTAAAACCAGAAAAAATTTAAAGGAGGTGAGAGAATTCGAACCCCTTCTGCCTTTGTGAGGCTGTGAGTGCTGCAGCAGGACTGAACTGCTGAGAAGAATCACCTTTCAGAACAGGTTGTTTTTATTACTTTTGACCGTTAAACTTGCTGTCAGGTTTTTAATTCTTTATTATTATTATTTTAGGACCTGTTGTAGTGAATTGCTACTGAAAAGCCAGTCTAAGGCGATACGCAGAGCACTCGTAAAGCAGCAGTCACATTAGGGTTAGTATTAATTTTTTTTTTTTTTTAGATGTACCATAATTAATAACTTGGCTAGTTGGTTGTTTTAAGTCTATGAAAGGAATAGTTTTTACGAAAAGAAAAAAAAAAAAAAAAAAAAAAAAAAAGGAAGGAAAAATACCATTGCAGTCTGGTTGACTGGTGCTCATTTTTCATGTGGGGACCTAGGGTATGAACATGATCAGCTGTCGGGTTGACACTATGTACCACTGACTTGTTTAGTGTGAATAAACCCAGGGGTTCACAGAGTGATTTTGGTTTAATTGGACTCTATTAAAGAAGTTAGTATGTTACTTTGCATCCCCTCGTTTTGTCTGGTTTTTGAGCAATTCAGCCACCTGTCCAAAAGGTGTGCAAGTGAGAGCCAGTAAATAAGATGTTAATCCCACTCTACACTGTGCTGTATTCTGAGCTGGGCTTTTTGGCCACAGTCGTGCTCTCCTGATCTGCCTCTAGTCAGGTTTACAAAAGCCAGTCTTGCTCCTTTCTTTCCCAAGGAAGGGTTCTAGTATAAGAGGTGGGAATTGCAAATCTCTGAAAAAGAATTGATTACAAAATGCAAAGAAGCTGGGCTTTAGGCTGTTGCAGGTTCCATTTAATCTGAAAATATCACTTGTGCAGAAATAATGTCCTTTCTTGACCCTCCCTTTCCTCCCATGTTGCTTGTCAAGGTTTTATGTATCAAACCCAGGTATAAATGTTGTTTAACACAGGGTTAGGAGTTAGGAATACTCTGAGTTTTAATTATGGTTCTGCTGTTGATGCTCAAGGTCACATAAAACAGTTCCCTGAATTTATTCCTAAATTTCCCATCTGTGAAGAGTTTTCTCTACATCACAGTTATAGAGAGGGTTAATGAGCAGAGGTTTAAGCAGTGTTTTGGTAAACTGCTCTGTGTTCTGAATGTCTCTAGAAGAGCCCAAGCCCCACCCCAAACTTGCATCCCATGGAACAGGGCCTGTGTCCATCATCAGTACAGTCTGGAGCAGGACAGATCCCTCCCAGCAGGATCCACACCTGCTGCAGGAGACGTGGCTGTGTTAAATGGGATGGAGCCACAACCTGCTGTTGCACCACAGCCTGCCTTGCCCAGGTGCTCCTGGTCCAAACCCTGCAGCTAATGCAGAACCGAAGTAAGACACATTCCCATTTGGGTTTTATGTTAGAATTATAGAGCCTTTTGTAAGTATATGGATTTTGGAATGACCTTCTAAATTCTGTGGAGTTAGAAGCCCCAGATTCTCCTGTTAGAAGCTACTTTTTTGTACTTGCTCTCTAGTATTATAAACCCAGGATGAATAATCAATGGCTTTCTCTTTATAGCACCAGCACTTTCTAAATTGAGAGCATGTTGCAGTGGACTTGATGTTTTGCTATTAATCTGTGTTGGGAGACTGAAGGACATGTTCTTCTCCAGTCATCTTCTCCCAGAATCCCTGGAATAGGTATGAGTCTCATGTAAAAGGAGAAAAGCAAACAAGCAAGCAAACAAACCCACCTTCAGACTAAAACTTCATAGAATTGCTGTTGCTGTACTGGTAAGATTAGTTGACAGGTAGAAACAGAACATTTCAGAAAAGTGACAAAACATTTTAAAATACCTTACAATACCTAGACAATGCTGAGACAACCTTGTAAGCTGCCAAGGAAGTCAGGCTGGAGCAGGCTTTCCAGTCAGCAGAACAATTCACGGGGATTAGCAGATGCAACTGCAGTCACTGTTTCACTAACAGCTCATACTTGAGCCACGAGGGAAGTTTCTGTTGAACTGAGGCTGGGTGCTGAAAGAGAGAAGTTTGTATCCCTGATGTTCCCACGTGCATTTAAAAGGGTGCACTGGTCACAGAATTCAATTCCAAAAGCCAAATCCAGAGTATAAATCCTCCATTTAGCTGCACTAACTGTAATGTTAGTAGTGGTTTGACTTTTGGCCATGTCTATCAATTTAATTTTGAATGCTACAGAATCTGACCTGGTGAAACCAATGAACAGCCTTGAACTAAAACCGAAGCCTTCTAAAACACCAACTGTGCATTCTGCTCATCAAAGAAAGTGCTTACTAAGGTGTCATGAATACACTGAATGAAAACTACTTACTTCTCAGTCTAGTGGACAGGGAAACAATTAGGCAGGAAGTTTACAATCCTGAAATGACAGTTCTAGATCATCCTGGTATAAATGGGAGAGATTTGTACCAGTGCAAGAGGCTGGTCAGGCTTAGTGGTAGCAGGAGGTTGGGCAGGTCTTCAGCAGTGCTGTGTTTTCAGGGCTTTTTGCTTCTTTGGGGGCATACAGTTCCATTCTGGACAGTAATGGAACCTACATGCAAATCCTTTCTGTTCTGTGCTGTGGGAAATGTCTGTTTCTCACAGAACATGAGACAGATCCAAACAGAAAACCCAGCTCACGAGTTCAGAGTTCAGAGGGAAGTAGGTAACATGCCCTGAGCTGCAGCTCACTTGTTGCTATTCCATTTTATTTTTAATTGCCATATCAGTGTATAGGTGATAGTTCTGATTCTGGGCCACCCTCCTTTCCTTGTCATCCCCTTTGGTGGGACTGCAGTCCGATGTTTGAGTCGGTGCACGTTTCTGCCAAGGAGGGAACTTCAGTTCATACAAATCTGGATAATCAGTGTTGTAGTGTTTGTATTATAGGAGTCCCATAACCTTTTGTCTGAGGCTCAGTCTTGTGTATTAGGTATGATGAAAACATCTTCAGTCATTCATGATCTAAACACTAAAGACAGACAAGAAAGGAATAGATGCTTATAGGTGAGTGAGTGAAAGAAAGATGAAGGACTGAAAACCACTTGCATGCTTAAGTGTTGTGTTAAATGGAGGGGCGCAGATTTTTCAGGCTTCTTTTGGGGCTCACCTGGGGCATGGGACTGTGGTGCATGTGAGCTCTCAATGCCGAGTGATTTGCCCAAGATGATGTGGGAAATTGATAGCAGAACCAGAAATTGAACACAGATTTTTCCTTCTCTCAATCCAGTGCCTTAATTATAGTAGGGCAAAGTATTATATGTTGGGGGGGGGTGATTGATTTGTTTGTTTTTTAAAGCCAAGATGGTGTGGAGTTGGTCTTCCTACCAATCTTTTGAATAATTGTAAATGCCCAGTCACAATTTTAGACCTGTTTGAGTGCCAGTGACTTAGGGAATATTTGTTATTTCCCATGTATTCCCTGAAATTATTGTTCCTCCCTCAACTGCAGTCAGCAGTAAGGAATGACTTGAATAGAAGAGCTGTGTAACTGAATGTCTATCTAACTCAACTAATTGAATTGCTAGTATGAAAGCTAACCTAGATTTTGTAGGCTCTGTTGTAACTTTAGTGTCTTGTTTTTTCACTAAATCTTTGTTCCTAGAAATCAGTATCTGAACTTATGTCTTGAGTCGGGAGTGGGGTACCACTTTCAGCTTTAATTTTTTTTAAGGTGCTTGCTTGAGGAAGTAGATGCCAAAGTAAACTTCAAAGGAACTCCAGACTTCAGTGTTGGAAGAATGAACGGAGAGCAAGAGCTCTCTTTGGGTTTCATGAGAGATAAATGGACAAAGTAAAAAACAGCCACCAAAATTCTAAGTCACGAAACAGGACAGAAAACAAGAAAAGGCTTTTCTTTAGCACCCACAAAAACAATCAGATATTTTCAATTGTTCAGCGTGGCAGAAACTCTGAGAGCAAGTGCCAAACGATCTCATAGAATGTGCTGGCTTTTTCAGCATTGTCGTACCTTACCAGCATTATCAATATCCAGATGTAAATCGAGCCAGCTTTGTACTGTTCACCTTTTGCCTGGGCACAGTACCTGAGTTTTAATGAACAGAACATAAGCTCACAGTGAATCTCTGAGCTTATGCTCTCAGTTCCACTCTGGGAGACAAAACAAATGAGCAAAGAGGGAAAAAAAAAAACACATTAGGAGAACTTAGATCCTGGAAGATTCCAGTGTCTCCTGAGAGAGTCATGGTTTTTATCCTGAACATCCTTTTCAAAACAAGATCCTTCAGCTGTTGGGAGGGAGCCCTTGGGAGCCGATTTGGCTTCCAGCCCCATGTGCTGCAGCTCCCTGTCCCTGTAAGAAGGCGGCGTGTTTGGAGCACGGGGCTGGACCCAGAGGGAAGCAGGGAGGGAGGCAGGGATGCTCCTGGGATGAGCCACAGGTACTGCCACAGTCAGCAGCACCAGCACTGCAATGGTGTCCTCCTGCCTGCTCCCCTGACACCCTCACCCTCCTCACATCCCTGTGCCAGTGTGGTACCTCCCCAGATGTGCCCAGCTCTGCGAGTAACTGTGAGCTCTACAACAAACCAGGGAACTATCTGGCTAAAAAGAAAAAAAAAAAACCCCAACCATTTAAAAATAGTGATGTGACATAACTGCAGAGTGATGCAGAGCAGGAGCCCTGCCTGTGAAGGGTTGTGGTGATGGCTGGAATGGTTCTGGAATGTTAGTGGAAAACCACAGTTGAGAGCTCTGTGTAGCAGGCAGTGACTGCCTGTTTGTAAAGAATTAACACCCTGTGTCATCTCCAGCCTCTTCCTGTGTTTGGTTCCTGTCTGTAAAATGAGACGATGATAACCCTGGGGTAAGGACGTGCCAGTGTTTGATTGACATGCCAAATTGTGCTGCACAGTCGAGCTGCTGAACTCTGCTACAAATGTTTGGCCTCACTGACTTCAGGTGTAATGCAAAGTTAAACAAACATTTGTCTGGCCACATTTTCCCTGAAAGGTGAGATACTTAAATTCATTTAAAGGCTGCCTGGCACTATTGATCTGCTCTCAGGGTTTATGTGAATGAAGCTTTTCCTGGGTGGCCTCTCTACTTGTACTGCAGTTTTGGAGACCTGGAGGTGCTCTGAGCCGAGATGTGCTGAAGGAAGGAGGTAACTGGTACCTTCACTGATGTTCCAGTGACCCCCTCCCACCTCCTGGTTTCCATGGGGAACATTCAGCCACTGGCAGCCAGAATTGCTCTTGAGCATCCTGCAGTCACACAGTGACCTTGGGTAAGTGACTTTCTAATGAACCAGTCTCATGCTTGCTAACAGCCTTTTGACTGCTGTGCCCACAAACTGGTGCCTTCTCCAGGCAATTTTTCCATGCCCTCTGCAAAGCTGTCAGGCTGACTGCTGGCTCCTGAGGAATCAACCGAGCCTTGCTCTTGGGCTCACAGTTGCTCTTCGGTACTGTTGTAATCTGAAAGTTTGCTGCAAGTAGTGCAAATACCAGAGGGAGAAAATAAAAGGCTGTTCTCAGATGTCCTGTAGAGTGAACAACTGAAACATGAGTGTGGGATGAGCCAGGAAAACTGGCATTTTTCCCTGGCTGCACGCCATATGGAAGAGACAGTGCCTTGGAAGGGAAGGAGCAGAAAAGTTTGCCATTGGCTCTGATGAATCCCAATCCTGCTTCTACTGAAGTTGTTGGGAATCCTCCCATTGTCTTCAGTGTGAGCAAGAAAGGATCTTAGGTGAGGATGGATGACTCTTTCCCTACTTGAATGAAGTCTCTTGCCTATTTATGGGCCTGCTTCTATTGAAACCGAGCCTGTTTTAGCCTTTTTGGGTTCTTAGGGACCTGTTTGTATAAAGCAACTTACCTACCTATCTTTTTTTTTTTCTATTGTGTGTATTTTTTGTATGTTCTGTTGGAAGGTGAAGCCTCTGTAGAAGGGGATACAAAACCTGATTTTTAAATAGTAATAAACCAAAAGAGAATTAAACTCTGCAGGCTGCATGCATTCATTTCCTGGAGATGGAGAGCAGAGACCGTGAGTGCACAGAGAGATGGCCTGTGCTTCTCATATCTCAGAATCTTCCTCTCCTCAGAGACAGTTCCTGCCTTTGCACATCTCCACAGCTCTGTGTGAAAATCCAGAATTGCAACACTGTGTACCAGGATGGCCTTATTTTGAGTAGAAAATCCTTTCTCTGGCACTGTGCAATGAGATTTCTTGTTTCAGCATAAGTGGATGGAGTAACAAGTATCTGTGAAACTCAGGATTGTATTCATTGAATGGCAGTGAAATATAACCAAGACAGGATATATAAATACATTTTTGCTTCTGGCCTGCCCACCTCAGGTGCTGGGGCACTGTCCAGTGCACAGTGTGACTCCATTACAGTCTAAAGAAATAAGTGCAAGTATCAGGTGAAACTTTACTAAGCCTTTGTTCCTTCCTGGCTTTTTACCTCCTTAGGATGTTGCCAGCTGGAGCTCTGACTTTCTAAAAGCGAAACCAGAAAGACCAAAATAACAACAGAGTTTTCCCTGTTCTGTAAACACACTTAGGGAACAGAGCGTTTGTTTTTTAAAGAGATGTGAAACAGTCCCCGGGCATATGTCAGTCATGAGAAAGGCTATCTCTGCATGCCTGTGGCATGTGTGTGACCCAGAGAAAGGACAGGGGTTTGCCTTTCCACACAGCAAAGAAAGGGCAACTTCCCAAAATAAACAACTCCTCCCGCAGCCTTCAGGCAAACACCTGTGGAGAGATCTCACAGTACCTGTGTGCCAATGGTTTTATCTGCTTTCAGGTCAGCTAAGAAAACAAAATCCAGAGGTGGGAGCTCTGCACTGTAACTCTGTGAGTCCTGCTCTTTATGAGGAAGGAGAAGTAGCTCTGCTGCAAGGTTTGGTCTCTGCATCTCTGCTCACATATTGAAACAAGGAGAGCCATTACAAAATGAGTCTCTGTCTCTGCTCTTACATTATGACTCCAGTCTTCATCCCTAAACCCCAGAGAGATACGAAAACATGTGTTTGGGGGTTTTTTATGTCTGCAAGTTTATAATCTTCCTGCCTTTCTGTTGGCTTGGAATATGGGTCACTTGCTTATGAGTGCCTGAGCTATTTGGACATGGTGTATTTTCCACAGGAACTGGGAGTTTGGCATATTTAAGTGCAACTCTAACCTCATGCTTTCCACAATGGAATCTAACTCCTACTTTGATAATATTCCATGATTCTTGAAGTTTAAACAGCAGATTTTTGAGCTATCACCTCTGTTTGACCGTGGAATCGGATTCCATGGTAAGGGAAGGGTTGGTATAAAGATATTTAATAATCCAATTCACTGGAGGTCAATTTGAACAGATATCAGAACAGAAATCTTTATTCCTTTTGACTCAAATCTCCAGATGTTTTTGTGCTGCCTTTTCATGTTTCTCATGTGCAAGATAAACCATTATTTTTAGAAAGGCTTTTTCTGACAAGAGTGAATGTTGGTTTATCAGAGTGCTCAGCTTTGCCAGGTACTGCTGGGCACAGCAGTGGATTGAGAAACAAGAAAGCTACAAAGGTACTTCTACACCTTAAAAAACAACTAAACAGCACATTCTCCAGTTTTTCTTCATGCGTTAATGCTTGTTTGTACTTTTCATCTAAGTCAGCTCTACACATGTAGAACTTGAGAACATCTCAAGTCCTTGTGTGCATATCCATCTTCAGGATTCCTTCCCCTGGAATACCATTTCATAAGGTAGGTACTGCATGTCTGAGGCTTTCAAGCACTTTGCAGACATTTAATCATTTCTGCCTCGGTGACATAAGTAGTATTAACATGGGAAACCAAGGCAGAAGCTTGCCTAAGGTCAAGCAAAGATCAGTCAAAGAATTTAGACCAAGGCTCCTGTTCTTGGCTCAGACCTATGTGTTCTCTAAGTAGATCACAGTATCTTTCAAAATAGCTTCCCTTCCTCCACCCTTAAAAATGAAGGCTCTGTTTTTTGTCAATAACGATCTGGATCTGGGAGAAAAACCAAACAATCAAACCAACCAACCCAGCAAAAGCCAGTGCAACAGGGGACTGAAACACGGTTAGGCAGCTGTACCTAACTCCTAACAATATTGCTGTGGTTGATGGTATCCTGCCAGGAGACCCCCCTTTGGATGGCAGGAAGAGCCGTGTCTGTGATCCAGGCATTGGGAGAGAGCTGAGGGCCGTGATCCACGGGGAGTCCTCCACAGCTGCCTCAGTGGGCCAGTGTGAACACAATGTCTGTGGGCACTTGGGCCCTTCAAACCCGCTGAGAAGAGCAGTGGAAAGGCACTGGGCAGTGTGTGACAAAAAGGACGAGAGTTGCTGTTGGAGAGGACTGCGTGTGAAATTTCTGAAGTCAGCGAGTGTTTGGTGCTAATCTCTTAATGCTGGCAAAGTGTAGCTGCGGTGCTTCTCCCAGGAAACAATAGGCCCCACATTGCCCTCCCGAGGCCTCTGTCCTTTTAGTACAGCCCACACAGAAAGCTCATCTGAGAAAGCACTCGGAGTCAGTGGAGCAACCCCTGAACCAGTCTGAACCAGTTCAAATATCGCATCTGGTTGTTTTGCTTCTGCAGACTTCCTTGTGAGTCCTTGGAGGCTGGGGCTGGCATTTACTGAGCCATAGCTCATGCTGTCAGACCGGAGGGGGAGGGAAAGCCTCTCCCTGAGCGTGTCAGCAGGGCCGTGCAACAGTGCCATTGGATATTCCTGCCCCTCCACACCGGCTCCTTTGTAGTCACTGTCTCTGTCTTGATGTTGGGTTATACTCGGCTCAGTTTCATAAACTCAACATCTGATCCTTTTGTTGCAGCCCTGATGCTTTTTTCTTACATTCAAATTGTTTCTAGTTTAGAAATGCAAGATACTTGTTTACAACTCCTACATCATTGCTTACAGAAGGTTTTTTACAGGTGAGACCCACCATAATTTTCATGACCAAGACAGAGGCAACAAAGGAATAGAAACCCTGCTTTTGTTGGAGTTGGAAGTACATAATAAATGTTTAGTGACATTCGATGCTTTAAGCACAAAGTGCTCTAAAAATCTCTTCATGGTAGGCGAGGTCTCAGGATGTACTTTATTCTTGAGCATTGCAATTTATGAAGGAAGCAGAAAATGGTTTAGAAAAACAAGTTTTGAGGGAAAACTGGAACAATTATTTTGGTTGCCTAGGAATAAGAAAGGGGAACTCATGGGAACATGACATATGTTCTGTTACAAGGAGGGCAGTGGTCAGCTTTTTCCATTTTAAGCATTCCTTGTTAATTTGGCTAGGAAAGATTACTCAGATTAGAAAACTCATTTTGCTTACTCCCCCCAGTGTCTTATTTGGTAAGATTAAGTAATAAAGCATGTTGGTTCTTGCATAGGAGGTCACATGAACTTTTGCCCAGGAAGATCTGAAGGCGCCAGAGAAGGAGGGTGGGTTTGATGGGTTCTTGCAGAGTCATTCCAGAGCTCTACCTCTGTGGCTGCCTCCCTTGGCACAGCATTCTGTGCTAGGTGGGAGATGCCTTTTATTTTTCTATTTTTTCTTTAAGGAAAGTCTCAATACACTTTGAATTTTTCCACAGGTGAAAAAAGTAGAACAAACAAACAAGAAAGAGCAGCTGACAGACAGGAGAGAGAAAAAAAGCAGGCATTGTTCGTTCTGGAACCTGTATAAACAGCAGAAAGGTACCAGCTCACAGCTGAAAGTGGTTCACACTGAGTTTAGGGAGGATGCTTAATGTCCCTTTTTCCTAAAAATAGTGTAGATATTCTCCTGTGAAGTGTTTGTGGATGTGGGGATGTGCTGTGATACATGTATGTGTACACACCTACAGAATTCCACGTGTAAACTGTGTGGGGATGTAGCTGCAGAGCTATTGGATTACGTATAGTTTGGGTAGTTTAAAATCAAGTCCTGGGAAATAATGTCACGTTTAATCTCTAAAAGTGTAGCAAGAAGAGCAAACCCATTCCCAAGCAGCAGAAAGAGCAATTGAGTCTGCCTTTGACAGCTGCCACCTGGCATCCTATTAAACTTAACTCTGTGAAACTGCCAGGCATAAATCTTCCCTCATCCTGGAGAAAGCTAGAGATGAAAGAAAAAATTATGCTTAGAAGTCAGTTGTGGAAAAGACTTTGATCTTTACCATTAATGTGAAGCTTTTTGCATTTCTCCCAGATTCCCCATTGTCCTTCTGTGGACTAGAAACTCAAATTGTTTTCTGGAACTTGGCTGGGTGTAATGAGAAGTGCAAATTTGTCTTGTTACATGAGAGCAGGGAAGATCTGAGATTTGTTTCCACAGAGATTAGTGCAGTTCCTGGAGCAGTATGTACAGGAGGAGGTGCTTTCTGTACTACATGCAATGGAGGCATTAGTTAGTCTCATGAAATGAGCAAAAAGAAATTAATTGTGCAGGTTGGCCAGCCCTCTGCAAACTGTTGTGGACAGGCAGTGCTTCTGGATGCATGTGTGGCCCTGCAGTTTCTGCTGAATGGGATCTGTCCCATAAAATCTGTGATGAAGAGCTATTACAAACAGAAGGCTTGATTCAATAGCCCTTATTAACAATTCTTGCTGACTCCACTTAGCCTTGCCTTCACAGAGAGTAACTGGAGAGCACCAGGAATGCAGTAACGGGGTGTCTGTGCAGACAATGAGCATAATGCCACAAAGGAGGAATCTTAGCGCTCAGGACTGACACGCACAGTTGGGTTTTGGTTTATTGGTTTGGTTTTTTACAACCTGGCTGCAGTTTTTTTAATCTGACATTATTAAACTAAATTTTCTGTAGTGGTAAATCATATTGTTGAAGCATGAATCACACACGAGTGTGTGCTGAGGCCTGTGGTCTCATACTCAGTGGTAGTGCTGCTTAATTGACCTGTTTTCCTCATCTACCCATCTGTCATGCTGGTATGTCTGTGTTTTTGTGGCTCCACTGGGGACTGGATGCAGCAGATAACCTGGTTGTAAAGGGGTTAAAGTGTTCATGACCTGGTGAAAAAGGGGGGAACAGTTGGGTTGGATCAGCACCTTGAGCCAGCTTGTCACACAAGTACCTGTAGCAGCCTGAGAGAGCCCTGCCAGGATGGAAACATCTGGGAGGGGAAGGGAAAGGCCACTGCTCCAGCCAGCACTGCCCCAAAGAGTGATTCATAAAACACTGAATACAACCTGCAGCTTCCTGGCATGGAAATACTTTTTACGTTTTCAGTGGTTTCCATGTGATTTCAATGCACTTTAAAAGAAGGGAACTTCCCTGTCCTCTTCTGAGAAGGGAGGTTTGATTGTAC